TTTAACCAATAAGAGAGCACATGTAAGTGTGTATAACACTATCAAAGGATTATTCACTTACTTTTGAYGCTTGATGATGAACAATAACGAGATTATCCTATCAAGAATAACATCCATTTAATATTATAGAAAATCAAAGCAAATCTATCCTGAACAAGGTAGGTCTACAGTATTCTTATAGATTACAGTAGGGTGCTGGTAGTTGTGGGTAGGTCAACAGTAGGTTGTTTATAGATTACATTAGGGTGTTGGTAAGTTGTCAGTAGAGTATTGAAAGGTTGTCAATTGGTCAACAGTAAGTTGTTTATGGATTACAGTAGGGTGTTTATAGATTGTCAGTTGGTCAACGACTGTAAGATGTTTGTAGAGTACAGTAGGGCATTATAGGTTGTCAGTAAAAAATGATGCTGGTTAGGCTCAGATTTCCAGCTGTCAGGGTTTTATGCACCAACATTGTAGTACAATAGTATTGTGGTTACAAGAAACCTTGTTGGCTAGAAATGTGAGCCTAAGTGTTGGTAGGTCATCAGTAAAACAAAATTATGGTAGACTGTCCTTAACATGTTAGAAGACTCACAGATGTTTGTGGAAACTAAGACAGTATGTTGTCAGCATGTCTGCTTCAAGTGTCTGTAAGTATATATCATGCAATAAATAGTTCAAGGACGTACCACAACATTGACAGCAAATCTACCATTCAAGTTAAGCTGAAGTACAGCAGATTTTTTAGCAGGTGAATCCCTGAAGATTTAAAAACATTTGTTTTTTTTTTTAATAATCACTTGAATTCAAACAAGTACTACAAGTACAAGTGACTAACCGTTGCAGCTGATAGAGGACTATCTCAGCACCTGTGGCTCCTCCAACACCCCTTGACTGATTTCTCAGTATTACTACATACAACTGACCATATCTACATATAAACAATAGGTGTGTTAGCATTTAAAATATAGTACTTAGAAACAGAGACTGATTCCTCAGTATTACTACATACAACTGACCATATCTACATATTAACCAATCAAAGTACTTAGAAACAGAGACTGATTCCTTAGTATAATTTTAGACTTAAATATAGTGTTTCATGAGCTGTTATTGGTTGATTGACCAGAGATGTATATTCACTGCTCGAGTG